GGGGCCCAGCGGGTGAGTGGACGGACACCAGCCCGTCGGTCAGACGGGGGCGCTGCGCTCAGCCGCTGCGGGGCCGAAGCGCCGACGCAGGCCGTGGCCGGGAGCATCTGGGCTGCAGCGGGAGAGAGCCGGGCACGAGGGCCGTGCGAGTCCGTCTAGTGAAATTCCCAGAACAGGCGGATTCACACTCTCCAAATCCACGGGGGCGGGAGGTAGGGAGTGGCTGGCAGTGGGCTCGGGTTTCCTTTCTGCGTGATGAAATGTTCTGCAACTGGATAGGGGTCATGGTCGCGTAATGTGAAAGCCTTAAATGCCGTGGAATTGTAGCCTTTAGAGTGCTTAAACTGGTAAGTTTTATATTATGCGGATGTACAGCAATAAAAAAAAATAATGAGGAGGGAAGGCAGAAAGGAAATGTGCAATGTCTTTGTAACTTTTGATTTGGATATCATTTTAAGTTACAGAAAAGTTGCAAGACTAGTTCAAGGAACTCCCTGATAGCTTTACCCAAATGCATCAACTGTTTATGTTTTGCTCCATTTTTTAAATCACTCTCTAAAATGTTAATAACCACATTAGCGAAGTTTTTCTGGACCATTTGAAAGGAAATTGGAGATAATCTGAACACCGCACGGTGTATTTACTAAGAACAAGGACGTTTACAAACCACAGTACAATGCTTGAAATCAGGAAATTTAACATTAAAACAATACTGTTGTCTAGGCTACAGTCCATATTCCAATTTTCCCTACTCTCATCCCTTGTGCATCTGCTCTCCCCATCTTGATAAAAGGTCTACCACATACCACCTCCGGCCCAAGGCTCCCTGGGAGTCACCGTTTTCTCTCCCTTTTCCAGCCCCCCACTTCCAACCCATCAGCAAGTCCAGAGGGCTCCAGCCACAGCATCCTCCCAATTCCCTCTGCTTCTACCTCCACCGCTACGGCCACCATCTCACTGGGCTCCCCGTGCCTTCCTTTCCCAGGTCCAGTACACTCTCCACTTGGCAGGCTCCATGAGCCCAGCAGACTGTGTCACACGCGCATACACTCCCTAAAGGCTTCCCGTTGCCCTGGGAGTAAAGCCCACGCCCTTCCATGGCCCAGGGCAGAATTTGCCATGACAATTCTCTTTTGAAAGTTGAAATCTATCCCGTAAACTTTTTTTTTTGCAGAAAAACTATCCTTGTCGATTGAATAATGGCAACAGTGTTGCACCAGGATACAGAGGTGGGCTGTCAGACCACTGTCCATTTCAACTGCGCAGCAGTTTTCCTTTATGGAGATGGCTGAGTGATGACAGGGAGAGACTGATGCCATTGAAAGATTTTTATTACTTACATTTGCCAAGAGGACGGGACACACAAGGCCCCGCAGGGCCATGGAGGGGAGCAGTGTCCGTGACGAGACAGGAGCAAACACGAGAAGGCTCAAGACAGAGCCTGTGTTGGGTTCTAGTGGGAAAGGCCCGGGAGGGCAGGGGAACTGCTCAGAACCGGCTTGTTCGATCATCTCAGCGGGCCTCGGTGAAGGGGGCTGTATCTAGATGTCTAGTACTGGTACCCGGCCTGGTGGTTTAGGGCGAACGTCAGCTGGGCGGGATGTGTGAGAGAGAAAGCTCAGAGTGCGGGCTCTGGATCCAGGGGAGTCGTGAACAACTGTAGCTGTTTGGCCTTGTAATTAATGGATGCGAACAGGCAAGTACTGAATCTAGGAAAACACAGTAAGAACACCGCCACGCACAGAGAGCAGCCGAGGGTGACACCCCCACGGAGCAAAACAAAGAGGAGACCATCAGGTTTTGGTCAGATCTGTGGCCTCAATTTAGTCTTCCGGCCAAAGAGTGTGGAGAAGGCTGGAGCTGCAAGGGTGACACACCTCCCCTGGGAGTCAGTGGGGTGGCCCCAGGTCCGGCCATAGGCCCATTGCTCGGGTTTGAGCCACTGCCCCCTTCTCCAACAAAAACGTCCACCCAGGCAGGTGGCCTCAGTCCAGAAAAGAGGAGACTGGCACACTCCCAAGGCTGTGGGAGCCAGGAGCCGACTATCCTGCTCCGGCTGTGCGAGCTCAGGGCCCCTTGGACTGCGTGCCCCTAAGAATCCTTCTGCTCTCTGCAAAGGGCGGGCAGTCCCTGGGGCAGGCCCCCTTCAGACACCAGGTCCTGGGCCACTTCACCCCACTGCGTTCTCAGCGTGAGGCTGGCCCCTCGGCTTAGCAAAAGCTCTGTGGTGGGGCCATGGCCCTGCTCCGTGGCGAGGTGCAGTGGTGTCTTGTGGAGCCAGCCTGCAGCGTTGACCTGCGCACCCCTGTCCAGGAGGTGGCTGGCAACTTCCACATGGCCTCCCCGAGCAGCGTGGTGCAGGGGTGTCAGGCCCAGTGAGTCTCGAGCATCCACCTCAGCTCCCCAGGCTGCCAGGAGCTGGACAGCAGGCAGGTGTCCACCAGCAGCAGCCCTGTGGAGTGCAGAGCGGCTGTGCCTGTCCTTGAGGCTTGGGTCTGCCCCGTGGTCAAGCAGCACCTCCATGTCCTGGAGGACGAAGGGAGGACAAAGGCAGGGGCCAGCCCTGGCCCTGGCAGGTGAGGGGCTGGGGCAGCTGTGCCATTTACCTGACCCAGACCTTATCTGGCCTGGGTTACCCAACAGCCTCTTTCTAAACACTGCTTCCCCATTTGTCAATGAGCCAGCGCCTGTGGCACCCTGGAGGGGCTCTGATTAGACACTTGCACTTGTCATCCTAATCGTCCTTAGATCAAGTCCAAGACGTGCAGCCACTGGCTACTCCTCCCCACTGTCTGGGGGCTGCCTGGACTCAAGCCCACGCCTGATGCTAATAAATACTTGTTGCTGCCTGCAGAGCGAAGACCAGCTGCTTCCAGCCGCTTCCAGCCCTCCACAGGCTTCCATGAGAAGTTACAGTTGGGGCTGCACTTAGGGCCCTGGTGGCCGGGCCCTCTCCGCCCTCCTCCCCGCCCTCTAGCCTTGACGGGAGTGCGCAGCCCCCTCCTCCTCTGACCCAAGGCGGTGCAGACCCCGGGGCGAGAGCTGGCTCCCCTCCTCCCTCCCCGTCCCTTCGCGGGCCTGGCCAGCACGTACCTGCCGGCGGCCCAAACC